TAAGTTGTTGCTTAGATAATTTTATTTGTCAACAAATTGACAAAGTTTAGGAAATGATATATAAGATTTTTTTTAAGATGTAAATTTCATAAGTTCATGTCTTAAAAAAGTTTAGAGAGAGACTCTAGAGCCAAAGAAGTTCTCTCTCCTTTTGTCTCCACCAATTCCTTCTAGATCCTTTATGTAGTTGAGTTGAGAGCTTGGTGATTCAAGGCTAGGGAATTGAGAATCCAAGTTGGAGAAAGTCATAAAACAACTCCAAAGACTTTAGGTTTTCCTTCCTCTTCTCATGATTTATGAGCAATTCGAGATAAGGAAAGTTTGTTGATTGATTTCTTGGATTATAGATGTTGAATTATGCTTGAAATTGTACCTTTGGATGGCAGAATTGATTGAAATTGTGAGATGATGAAATTTGGTTGTGTAATATATTTGAAGTTGTGTTGAGTTGAAATGGATGATCCATGAAGTGTAGTAGTTGCTTGTGGTGTTTTATGCTGAAATTAAGTTGTAGAAGTTGCATATATATTGAAAATGTGATTGCATACTAGTTATTTTTGAGAAATTGCAAGTTTTAAGTCAATTTGAGGATTTTGCTAAGTGTGCAAATCTTCATCAGTCGAGCATGCCTTCATGTCATCAAGTGTGGCTCAAGATAAGGGCTCTCAATATTAGACGTGAGATTGGTAGCATCGAACGTGGGGTCAGTGAGGAATTTCCTGACTTGGTCACGTCGAACATGGAAATAAGAGGTGCCAAGTGTGATTGCTTGAGGAGCTTTCTAACTTGATGGCATCAGGTGTAGGTTGAGAGGCGTCAGTCATGATCAAGTCAATGACTCTCTACTTGGACGATGTCGGACATAGATTTTGTGGCGTCAGACATGGGTTAGATAAAGACTCTCTACTTAGATGATTGACATAGGGGCTTTGTGCCTCATCCACGTTGGGTATAAGTGATTAGGCATTGGGTCTGGACGAGTCAAAAGCTTTATGACTTCGGATGTTGAGAGAGTGGTGTTGAGCGTGGTTTACTGAAATAAAACGATGTTTTAAGTTGTCTAAGTGTTGAAGCATGATGATTCACTTGCATAATTGATGTTGTAGTTCATTATGCATCGGTGCTTTGAGAGCCTAAAGTTAAAAATCCTTTAGTGAGTAAGTTAACTCTTGAATGAGAAGTTGTTTTCAAGTTGTCTCCTCTAGGTCTTATGTGGAATAGTATGTGGGTTAGGTCGAGTCATACATGTATGAAGTGGTCAATCGAGTAAGGTATGAAGTTTTGGGGTAAAATCCTTAATTGGTTGTTAGAAAGGTGTGTAATATTTGAAGGATAGTTGATAAACTAATTCCATATAAGACTTAGATATGCATGCTAAGATCATGGTAGACTCACACCCAAGTTGTTTTATCTTAACATTAGTACTAGACTTTCTATTTTAAGCAGAAAAACCTAAGAAAACATTTTAAGTTGTTTACCAAGTGCTTAGAAAGGCCTAAAACTGTTGATGCTCGATCTAGTTGTGACAGGTCAAGTAGTTGTGGTTTGATAAGGTCAAACCACTTAGGCCACTCACCTCTATTCCATAAGTTAATATGCATGATGACACATTATAATTGTTTAAAGTTGCTTATGTTGAGAATGTTCTTCATGTTATAAGTTGTAAATGATTACACAGTAAAGTGATATCATGTTATGAGCTAACTTGATATTATTAAAGTTATTTATGTTGTATATTGTAATTTCTTTACTGTTGTTATGTTGATGCTTTTACAAACTCACCCTTTTTTTCTTATGGTTGGACTATAATGATCATACTTGGTATAAGAGTATGACAAGATTAACTTGGATGACTAACTTATGGTGGATGATCATGTTAGAGATAACTAATTTTGTATATATTGCTAGAATGTAGTATGGTTGTGTTTAGACACTTGATCGACGATAGGATTTATGTTTTCAGTACTTTGTATATTTTAATGTATATAGTATATATGTACAAGGTATATGTAACCTATAAGAGGCTTTATGTTTTCTAGTCTTATAAGAAGAATATGTTTTAGGTTTTTCATATCTTATACATATATCTGTTACATGAATGTTCAAGTGACTATTGTAAGAGAATCCTAGGATAGCTAATTAATTATGTTTTATGTTGTATAATAATTATACTATATTAAGTGTAGTAATCTATCAAGTCATTACACGTAGATAATATATATGTAGATTCTTTTCTTTATTTCTATTTGAATCATTTTAATTTTAAGTTTTTTATTTGTTATTTATGATACTTAATTATTTGTTACATATTTTTTTTCTCTTTTGTACAAAGTATAAAAGGACTATAACAGTTTTCAGCTTTTTATAAAAGAAACAATTTTAAAACTTGTGTTATATGCATTTCATTTATTTGTCTCCAAGTAAAACAATTTTTTTTAATGTTTTTCAATTCTAGTTTTCCTTGTGGTCTAATACTCATTTTCAAAGAATCGCCATATATTTAAAAGTTTATTATACTAAAATTTGAGTGTTGAGTGTTTATTGTGTTCCTCTTATGTTATATTCCTTTTCTCCTCCATATGTTATCTTTTTGAATATCATCAATAATCAATATGAAAAATCACATTAATAGTTGGATAAATTTTTAACTATTTATATAAAGAAGTTATTTTTCCCACTAATATTAAAAATAAAAATTTATAGAGAACAATAATGATATATGTTTAAACTTTTAAAATAGTATATTATTTTTTTAGTGTTATAATTTTTTTTATAAGTATTAACCACACAACTTAACACTATTAGAATTTCTCTTATTACATGTGATTTTTCTTGTGAATTTTTATGAAAAATTCGCAGGAAACGTTGTTCCTACAAATTTTTCTACCAAATTTTATTTACAGGTAATACCTTCGTGGATAATATATTTTTTCGAATTTTAAAATTCGCAGGAAATTTTCCTGCGAAATTTCTTGCCAAAAAAATCCACAGGAAAGTTTCATGCAAAAAAAAAATTTGCAAGAATATTTTTTACAAAAAAAATTAAAGAAATTACTATAAATTCTATCAATAATTCTTCAACTTTCAAATGATCACAATGAATTCATTTGAAGTATTTGTTTCATGCTTCCAACATGTGATACATAATCTTTTAAATTCTAAGATTGTAGATTATAAGCCTAACACTCAACCATACAAATCAACTTGTAAGGTAAGTGTTGTTCCAACTTATATACTTTTTAATTGTTTTATTTTCAATCGATGTGAGACTTGAAGTTTTTTTAAAATATTAAACTTATAAATTAAATTTTTTTTTATTTTTCCTGCGGATTAAAATTTGCAGGAAAATCCGTAAGAAGAGTTACCTGCAAAATTTTTCTACCATTTAATAAACATTACTTGCGAATTTATTTTTGCAAGAAAATATGCAAGAAACAAAATAAAATTCTTATATATTTTCTGCAAATTTTTTATCATGGAAAAAAATTTCTATGATCATTAAAATTGTAGCAAAATTTGTAAGAAATATCTGAAAATTATTTTTCGCAAATAAATTCGAAAAAAATTTCTGCGAATAATTTTTTGCAAAAAAATTCGCAGGAAAATAATACTTTTCTAGTAGTGTAAAATTTTTGGGTTTGTCACTAATGTTGTACTAACAAAAAATTATTGCATCATTTAAAATATTAATTCATTGAACTTTTTTTCACATTAATATATTTGCCCTTATTTTTATTCCTAAATTAGGTGAGCTTCTTCGTCTAAAGTACATCAATCTCTACGTAAAAATCTTCTTTGACTATAAATGTCGAGCAACTGTTAGTCTTTTTATAATATTATAAGAATAATTTAGGTAGATTCAATTAATTTTTAAAAAAATATTATCGTCTGTTCATATATAATATACTACTTCATGTTATCCCTCTTTGATTTGATGAAATATTTGTTGACCTCTCTACCATGTACACATTCATTTGTGTCACTTTTGTTTTGTCCATAAGCACATATTACTTGTCATGGTCGTGGGGTAAATATATGATACATTTGTGATAAGTTGTGAATGGATATAAAAGAATTAGGATGCAGCTTGATTCAAGTGAATCAAAGACCTTTTTTCGTTGGACTATCCCCTGTGGCCGTAGACAGAACTCAGACTCCGTAAAAAAGTTGATAAGTTGAAGCTCACAACTTGAAGGAGAAGATGTTCATATAGAAGTCACTGGGAGTGGAAGTTCACCTAATTAGGGATAGCGATAGGGGCAAATAATATAATTTAAAAAATATAGGTAAATATTTTAAATGATATCTCAATATTTTTTATTTTTGTGGACACCAATTGAAATATAATAAGGAGATTGGTGATTTAAATCCTCCTGTAATAACTTTCTTAATTTTTTTTTTATAATAACCTTCTTAATTGATATAAATACATTATTAGCGTTTGGAAACTCATTGAGAATAAAAAAAAAATACTTTTAAGATGTTAAAGCTATAACTGTTAGTTTTTAGAAATCACGAACCACGTCCAAAACTAAAACCAAATATGTTATATATTGACACTCAATGTTATCCAATAAAACATATTATATTGTACTTCCATGTGAATTTAGAAGATTTTTTTAAAAAAAGAAAATAGTATAATTTGCTCTATTATTGAAATTTTAAGTTAAAAGTACTAGTTGAATCAATTTTAAGAACCAAAATAATACATTGTTCCGTAATTTCATGATTAACGTCATATTTCTATAGAAAATACAAATACTTTTTTTTTTAAGAAACAATCTTATACGAGTTGATTACGATTACTATGAATAATTTTTTTTAAGAAATATTTAACACATTGGTACAACTATGACTAAAATTTAATAATATTAATTAAACTGAAACATTTCTGCATTGATTCACACTTTTGGTACAAAAGTTTTTTTACGATAGAAAAAATTCAGATAAGGATTTTCAAAAGCCTAATTCTTTTTCTAAAAAAAACTAAAATAAAAATAAGCATAACTAGGTAGTTGATTCCAAACTGGGCCTAAGAAAGCCCAATTATGTTATGCAGACCCTGCTTTCTGAAGCGATGATGGTGTTGTGTGCAACGAAACCTGAAAGCGAAGCATGGGAGAGGGAGAACCCACCAATGGTTATTGCAGCAGCAGTGGCGAAGAAGACGGTGACGCATCTTGGAGAGCAGCAATCGATTCCATTGCTCAAACCACCACCTACGTCTCTTCCTCCATTACCAAACGCACTCACCCAAATGATCATCACGATCATGACAACAACCTCAAAACGCAACGGATTAAGCACTACCAACTCAAGGTCTCCCTCTCAATTACTCATTTTTCTGTTTATAGGTTAGTGTGTGAGAGAGTATATTGAAGGTTCCAATTAATATTGTTAAAAATTTAAAAAGATATTAGGAATTGGCCGCTTACTCTTATTAGCCATGCCCACTACAGAAAATGTAGATTTGTTAACCAAGTTTGCATCTTTTTTCAAATGGGGTTTCAATTTGGTTTATGGGGTGGTTCAATTTCTGAAAATGTAGTAGCTTGCTTTGTTAGTTGTTGCAGTCGCAGCACCTTTTTTTTTTTTTTTTTTTTTTTCCTTTTATTTTTTTTTATCCAAATTACTGTACATCATTTCATTACGGGTCTCGCTTGGACTTTTGCAGTGTACCATTGTCCCCATCTCTTTTTTCTGGTCTTTCTATTTGATGATGGATATATATACTGTGGATGTTCTTGACAGGCACAAAAGCTTCTGAATGAAATATTGGAAAATACGATAGAGATTTTAATTTTTCTTATCCAAATTACTGTACATCATTTCATTACGGGTCTCGCTTGGACTTTTGCAGTGTACCATTGTCCCCATCTCTTTTTTCTGGTCTTTCTATTTGATGATGGATATATATACTGTGGATGTTCTTGACAGGCACAAAAGCTTCTGAATGAAATATTGGAAAATACGATAGAGATTGTGAGGAAGCCTGTCCCTGTCGTGGATGAGGATCCCAAGATCGAGGAATGCGGCATTCGCTTGTTTAAAAATGCTCAGCCAGGAATAGTGTTTGATCACGTAGGTAAGCAAGTGTGTGGTACCACCTTGGCTTAAGTTAAGATCTGTTGCAATTGTTTGTTATGTCTATAAAGGGTTGATTTTAGATTTGGGGTAGTTTTGTTTGCTTTTACCTTGCTATGGTAACATTGGTAAGTTGGCTTTACGTGGTGCTGGTGGCAGTTGGTCACTAGTCACCATTGCTCTTGACTTGAATATGAAAATTGAGAACTTCTCTGAAATATGAAAAAAGCTGCATTGGGTAAAAGCAGCTTCTGGTGCTGCTGGTAGCTTAGTGTTAGCAAAAAGTACTACTTTTTCAGAATAGTGCACACACGCACCCAGCGCCAGTTGTTAAGTGGAGCCCAGATCAGCATGCCATTCATCTCTTTTTCCAATCTGCAATCTTTTGTTGACCTCAGAATTCAGAAGATTAGAGTAATTTTTACGCTACTTTGTGATATATTGCTGTGTGATGCTGCATTTCAATAATCCATCTGTTAGGTCGTTAACCACTGAGAAATTGTCAGTCATTGTGGATGAGTCACTAGCCATAGAGCAGCACTGCAGCATGCTTGGGGCCTCTGCCATGACTTCTGGCAATTTGGTCTTGCTCAGCTGGTTGGCCAACTGAACCAGAATTACTGGTCCAGGTTATCAAGTGGACCATGTAATTATGAAGTATGAAGAAATTCAGAGTCATACTAGCACATGTTTATAGAAAAACCACTCAAGTTGAGTAAAGTTGTAAAAAACTCTTTTACTGGTTGTGATATGACAACTTCTCACAAATTATTGGTTTGAGGAACTAAACACGACATTTAAGTTTGAATTCAGTGCCACATATTGCCACCGCCACGATATGGATCCAGCCCATATTGATGCAAGACGGACTTTTATTTTTGACATTGACATCCATTAAGTGAGTTTTATGATTGAAATTCAAAATAATCCATTATGAGTAAAAGTATTGTGTAAAAGGGTTAAAAAATTATTAACTTTGTGATTGATCTTGAGATGCTACCGAATTGTGTTTGTATATGTGGCTTAGGCTTTTACATTATATGGCTGCAGATGAACCTCAACCACCAAGGAAACGGCCTAGAATACTTCCAGGAGGAGATATTGAGGAGAAATCAAAGAAGGTCTAACAGTTAATTAATCTAAAAATGTCCTTGTGCACAATGTTTCATTTTTTTTTTGTTTTGTGTATATATATATATTTGATTATTTTCTTAATGACTGTGCCACCTCAACAGTTTAGAAAACGGATTCGATCTGTTGCTGTTGATGGGATAGACGTAATAGCTGCAGCAAACAATGCATACAAGAAGTCATTAGCTAGACTAGAAGCTAAAGATGCAGCAGCAAAAGCTAAAGCCAAGAGAGAAGAGGAAAGAGTTGCAAATTTGAAAAAGATTAGGGGAGAGAGGTGGCTGCCTTCCATGGCCAAGGAGATGCAGGTTAAAAATCGATGCTGACTTATGTCTTTCCATGCTCTTAACTTTGATGCTAGTTTTATGTATAACTCGATGGTTGATTAGCTTTGTTGATTTGTTAGGGGAGCTTATTGTACCCGAAATAATGTAGTTCTAGAATTGTAATGTAGTTATGAAAAGCTTTTTCTTTTCTTTTTTCCTCTCACTATTCTGCTACAACAATCTTCACATATTGAAATTTCCGAAAATGTTAATAAGTTGCTATGCATGAGGATCAAGACACTTATATTTGGGTCTTTATTCAGACCAAGACAATTGAGACGTTTATTTCTTCTTTGAGAATGAGGGATTGCCTCCCAAGTTTGTTTAACACCTGGTGGGGACACCCATTGGTGGGCTTCGGAGTGTTTTTGGGTCCATTGATTAGTTTGTTTTTTGTGAAAGTTGAATGAGTGTGTTTATGCTTGTTGGATTATTGGCCACAAAAAAAGAGTAGTTGTTGGATATATTAAGCATAAAAAAAATTTGTTGGATTTCAAACTATACATTAATTTACCAACAAATCATTGGTCGGAATGGTACTGAATTTGGTTACCTTAAGTAAGACTCAGGTTTGAGTCTTGGATATGAAAAAAAATATGGTTGGGAGGGGAGACCCAATGGCCGGTAGCCACTCAAGTTCTCCAACAGAGATTAGTCATCGACGAAGTCAGTAACATGGTTAAGTAAAATAAACTATACATTAATTTCTTATTTTGTGGACTAAGGTAAGGTTAGGGTGGACCATAATTTTTAACCATTAGATTAATTTTATGTTTATAGATTATATGCTACATCTACCACTAAATTATTTATTTACGCTTTGTCCTCCTCTGACATTTGTTCCCTCCTCCTCAATGATCCAAATGCTGTTGTCCCCTCCCTTTGCCCCAACCATGTTGCTATTCACACCACCAACTCTCGCCCTACTTCTTCTTCTCTCTGCCTAGACCTCCTTCATCCTCTAATCCCTCCTCTTTCTCTCACACAACCACCTACCACCAAACCCTTCTTCTCTTGCCCATCCTCCTCACCCAACCTCGATACCCAATCATAACTACACACATTCTCACTCATTTCTCTTCCCAAACCCTTCACCACCATGACCATGATCATGAAGTGATTAACCGTTTTTTACCCATCATTATTTAAATAGGAAATCACATTTATCTTATGGATGATTCACTTACTCAAAATGAGCAATTGTTTTTAAATTAAATTCAATAATTTTGTATGCACATTAAATTTTGGATTGATATTTCTTAATTATATTACATATTACCATTTCGATTTCTAAGAGAAATCTAGTTGAAGCCTTAAGAGGCTTTGACTTAAAGAATACTTGGGTTTGAAGCTTAGCTCAAACTTTGAATACTTAGGTTATTATTTGAAGAGACAAATCAAATACTTGGATTGAGATTGAAGAGGTTTGTCAAAGTTATAGCAAAATGTGGTAGTGTGTTAAGAATTAAATATAGTTTTAGGTGTTGAGATGAATCAGTATAAAAATTTTGTATGTTCTTCTCTCTTATTCTTTATCTTTACTAACTTGAATTGTGCTTTAATTTATTTCATTTTTAAATGTTTTTATCAAGATACAAAGTGTTTTGTAATCGTATGAAATTAAACAAGTTTTTTTTTTTTTTTTGTGAAAACCTATACATTATCTTATTGTTCAAGTGAAACTTTGTTCTTTCAAAAAAGATTTGCATAAAACTTTTCTAAACACAATTCAACACTCTTATGTTTTTTACATTGTTTAGATTGTTCCAATTCAATAATCGTATAGTGCTTAAGCTTAGGATAAGGACAAGGATAAATTGTATGCATCCATGTAAATTTTCTCTTAATACTTATGACTAATTTTGCTTGCCCAAGAAATTAGGGTTCATAATCGGAAATAAATGGTTTATCACATCAGGAATTAGGGATAAACTAAATTAGAGATGTTGAATGCGAATTGCATAGCAAGAGATGTAGAAGGGAAGTAAATTATCTTAAGGGAAAATCAAGGGGATTCTAGTACCTAATCATTTTAATTAATTGGATTTTTTAAAATTGATAAGTGTGTTTTTATTTCTATTATAACAAATACTTTATGTACCAAACATCCCTTAAAGAAAAATAAGGAGATTCTAGTACCTAATTGTTTTAATTAATTGGATTTTCTAAAATTGTTAAGTGTGTTTTTATTTCTATTAAACCCAAAAACATAAAAATTCTTCATTTCTCAATTCTTTTGTAATTCTCAAATCAAAAGTTTAAATTAATTTGTTGATTCATTGTTAACTCACAATCTCTGTGGTTGTGATAACTTCCGTTTTTTTTATTGCTTGGACAACCAATATACTTGTGATCATATAATACTTGCAATATTTAACTTTCATTCAATCTAATATCATCCATTATATTAATCAAGCTTGTCAGCACTCCTATGCTCCTACCTTATTTAACCTTAAAGTTACAAGTGTATATAAGATGCTCGGATAGAATTCAAGATTTTGGATTTTGATATTTTGCTCAAAGTTTTTATTTTGTTAGATCAAGGTTATCGAATAACCGTTATAATAGCGTTATAACGATATGGCGGTGTGGTTTCGGGCCTCGCCACCATTCGCCATCCAAAAAATGGTGTTTTGTGGCGCTGTCCGCCATTTTTGCCGTGGCGGCCGCCATGGTTGTTTTGAGCTGTTCCGCTATGAAGGCGATGGCGGACAGTGTCTGGGCCAGTTTTGGGCTTCGACCTAGGCCCAATAAGCATGCCTTAATGGTTTTAGGGTTCATCAATAAGAAGGCACGACAACCACCACCACTCGCCCAACTCATCTACCTTCTTCAACCTGTCTCCGTTGATGTTCCTCCACCGTCGCCCACCACTCGCTGGCCACCTCTCCGACCAACCACTTGAACCGCGGTGGTCCATGACTCTGACGACTTGAACCATGATGTGCGCGTGAACAGGAAGAAGGTTGTTCAAAACCTCCTTTGATCACCGTTCACCGTCACCCACCACCCTTTGGTCTTGTTTCTGGCCGGCAACCTGAATCATGGTGGTCTAGCGCTCCGGCGAGCAACTCTAACGACTTAAAACCTGAAAGTTTTTTTTCCTCTACAGTTTTAATCCTCCTTCTTCCTTTATTTTTTTCCTACTCCTCTGAGTCATTTTTTAATTTTTAATGAGTTTGTTGCTGCATTTGCAAGATCAATTTTTTTTAATCTTAATTCTTCTACTAATTATTTCAATTTAAATTTCAATTTTTTATTATTTTTCTTATTTTTATTTTTAGGACAATGTCTAGCAATCCTCAAACTCAAAGTCAAACATCCTCAAACTCTGTTAAGAGGACAGATATAGGATGGAAACATTGTCATCCTACCAAAGACAATGATACAAATGAAATTATGTGTAATTATTGTCAAAAAATCATGAAAGGAGGAATTACAAGAGCAAAGCAACATCTAATGGGAAAGAAGGGAAATGTTGCACCTTGTCAAAGTGTTCCACAAGAGGTTAAAGATGAGTTGTGGGCACTTGAGAAAAATAAGAAGATGAAAGAAAGTGAGTCATGCCAAAAAATAATGGAAGATGTGACTTTTGGTAGTGAAGATTATACATTGGAGGGAGATTTAAGCGAATTAGAAGTAGAGACACTTGAGACCAATGAAAGGAAGAAGGTTGCTACGAAAAAAGGCCTACTGACCTTTTTTGTAAACGTTCGGAAACAGCAATTGCAAAAAAAAAAGAAGGACAATTTGAAACAAATAAATATAAGGGAGAGTTGTGACAAAGAAGCCATAGCAAGGGTCTACCAATATATAGGTCGGTTTTGGTTTCAAGTTGGACCATCTTTTAACATGATCAAATTGGAGAGCTTTCGTGACATGGTTACAACTATTGGATCTTTTGGACCGCATTTCCGACCTCCATCTTATCATGAGATACGAGTTCCACTGCTCCAAAAAGAGAGAGTATACTGAAAAATTGATGAAGAGTCAAAAGGAACATTGGGCTAGTTTTGGATGTTCCATCATGTTAGATGCTTGGACGAACAAGAAGCAAATATGCATTTTTAATTTTTTGGTGAACTCTTCTGTAGGGACAATGTTCATTAAATTTGTTGATGGGTTTAATTTTGTGAAGACCGGAGAAAAGCTATTTGAATTACTAGACTCTATTGTAGATGATATTGGGGAGGAAAAAGTTGTCCAAGTCATCGCGAATAATGGGAGTAATTATGTTCTTGCTGGCAAGATGTTGGAAGCAAAAAGGAAGAAATTTTTTTGGACCCCATGTGTAGCCCATTGCATAGATTTAATGTTGGAGGACATTGGGAAGCTTCCAAATATCAAGAAAACAATTCAACAAGCAATTTCTCTTGTTGGCTTCATTTATAGCCATTCAAGCACCCTAAGTTTGTTAAGGTTTTATACAAACAAAAGAGAGCTAGTGAGACATGCGGTGACTCGATTTGCAACATCCTTTCTTTTTTTTGGAAAGGATCCACCAAGAAAAATAAAATTTAAGAAAGATGTTTGTTTCGGATGAGTGGAATTCAAACAAATTATCAAAGGAAGCAAAAGGAAGAGAAACATGTAAACCTGTTTTGATGCCTTCTTTTTTGAGGAATGGAGTGTACATACTTAAAGTCATGGCACCTTTTGTAAAAGTACTTAGACTTGTTGATGGTGAGAAAAAGCCAGCTATGGGCTATATATATGAAGCTATGGATAAGGCAAAAGAGGCTATTATGAAGTCTTTCAATAACAATGAGACCAAATATAAAGCCGTGTTTGAAATTGTTGATAGAAGATGAGATGTTCAGCTTCATCGCCCATTACATGCAGCTGGTCATTTTTTGAATCCAGAGATGTATTATGACAACCCTCAAATGGAATTTGATAGTGAGATTATAAGAGAGTTTTATGTAAGCATGAATAAGTTGGTAAAACATTTGCAAGTGGAGCAAAAAATCATGATGGAGCTACACACTTATAAAGTTGTATGAGAATTGTTTGGGACTGAACTTGCTATAGCAATGAGGAAAAAGGTTTCACCGGGTTAGAAACTAAACCTTTAAGAGTTTTAAACTTCTATTCTACTAATCGTTCCATATTTAACACACTTTCTTTTGACTTTATAACTCAATGGTGGAGACTTTATGGTTCATCAACCCCCAATTTACAACAACTAGCCATAAAGATATTGAGCTTGACTTATAGTTCATCCGGTTGTGAACGTAATTGGAGCGTCTTTGAGCAAGTAATTAATTTGCTTTTGAAGAGTCTTATTAGTTCCAAATATTTTAAAATATTTACTTAATTATTTAATTTAATGTTGCAGATTCATATTAAGAGAAGAAATAGGCTTGATCATAAAAAATTACATGACTTGGTCTATGTTAAGTATAATCAAGCACTCATGCGAAGATACAATCTTAAGGATGAAGTTGATCCTATTAGCCTTAATGATATTGATGAATGTAATGAATGACTGGTTGGAGAGATGGATGGGGATGATAATGATGAAGTTGAAGCTCTAGATGATAGGGTTTTTGGTGGAAATGATCCACTTACTTGGAATCAAGTTTATGATGTTTTAGGGGTTGGAGAGCCTCTAATGTATACTAGGCGTAACAAAAGGAAGCAACCTCCAAGTGGGGAAGGAGCATCATCTAAAAAAGTTTCTAAAAAACGCAAAGGAGTGTCTTCTTCAACTAGGAAAGGAAAAGGTAAAGTTGTTGAAGAAGATTCAGAAGATATTAGTGAGGAGTTAGAGGAAGAATTGCCAAATATTAACTTTGACAATTCAGAAGGTGAAGAAGTTGAAGGCTATGCCCCTTTGGTATTCAATGAAGAGAATGATTACATTGAGGAAGAGGAGGAGAATGATGATGAAGAGGAGGAGGATGATTAGATTAGCAAAATGCTTCTTGTACTCTTGTTTTTCTCTGTTTTTTGTTGTGTTTTAATCAATTATGTTATGAGACTTAATGAATTATGGTATTGTTGTTATGATATTTAAGTATTTAAGTTGATATTATGTTGGTTTTAATTTAGTTTTGTTGCTTGTTATTTATTGTTTTACTATTTTCTTTGTATATAATATATGAAAATATTTTTATTTTTATTTTTTTTTGTCTGCGATGACGTCCGTCATAAGCCGCCATGGCATCCACCATAGAATTATAAAGAATTTTTGGTCTCATCGCCATAGACAATTATCCGTCATCGATAACCTTGTGTTAGATAGATTTAGTGATTTTGATTTTGTTGTTTATCCTACAACTAGGAGAAGCATGATTGTCCTTTTGCACCTCCTTAGGGACTAATTGTATTTATTGGCACTCTAAGAAACAAACATATAGTCATTCGTTCGAGTTCAAAACTTGATAAAAAAATCAATGGTTTTTACCATTATTTAGCTTACTTGGATTTCAAACATTCTCATATATGTCAATATACCTCCTCTTCAACTTGAACGTGTGTATTAACGAAATTACTAATAAGGGGTTAATAAGATAAAAACATTTACTCCGATTAAAACTCCTTAGTTCCTGAATTCTTGTATGGTATCAATTGTAATTCTCTATACATTTAAGTGAACTTCTCATTCTTTAGAAATCCTAAACACATCATCATCCAACTAGGATGCCATATGGCATAAATTTGTAGTTAAGGAGACGCAAGCACTACATAACTTTACTCTTCTTCTGCTGCTTTGGTAAATCTTTCTATCATCCACTTCGCATTCCCCAATACACACGTACTACGATGTGGGTAGCTGCTCCTGTCCCCACTTTGCCCTTGAATAAGATAAAACTTGGGAAATATCGCGGAACCAACCGTCTCTTTATCTCCTCTCTCTGCTGCAACTTCCCAACCCACAATTTCTCAGCATGCCACAAGTGTTAGCAATGGTGGTAGACGGCGTTGGAGGCTTCGTCAGAACGCTTTGGGCTCTACAAGAACGGCGATGGTCCTACACTTTCGACGCTGTGGCCTCTGCTGCGGTGTCCGTAACCATGACATTGGTGCTGTGTTTGTTGTCTATTCGTAGTAGCCATAGGCATAGACGAGGGGAAGGTGATATGGCATTTGCCTCTTTCTGATGTAATAATTATTGGTTCTCGGATATCATGTCCAATAAATCTATCATTTTAGTTTTCACTAAATCCTAGCCAAGTCTGTTTTGGGCAAATGTAGATTTTATACATATCACGTCATTAGTCATTGCTCATATAACATCATTAATGAATCGTGGATAAACTGGAGTGGTTGGTGAAGTGCATTTTCGCAACTACCATCCAATAGTTAATCCATTTTCTCTTTCTTCTGGATTACCAGAAATACCATTCCTTTCAACTTACATGCCATTACAAATGCCGACTATCCGCATGTTTCCATTTGCATCCAGCGCCACGCAATCCATCTTATGCACAACTTAGTGAGTAGCTTCTGCGTTTTTTTCCTTCCTGTAATGACATGATTAATGATTTTATGTAGTTACTGCATCCTAAACTCGTTTCCAAAACCACTTTCAATCACACGGCCATGAAAATGGCGGACTTTAATGTGCAGTTCTTTCATTTAAATCGTTTTTTTTAACAGATAATCAATTGAGTCTAGATACTTGAGTGAGTTATTGTAAACCTCCGATTCTTATATAGATAAAAAAAAAAAAAAAAAGAAGAAAACTCGGAGAAACAGCTAACCCCCCTCCCTCCGGTTCAAACTTCATTACCACCTTGAAAGCAATAAGTTTCACCAAACACAAGTACCCCTGTTCACTAATTCATTAGTAACCTGAACCTGGGATTCATAAGAATTTACGCTTCTTACATTACATGCACCATGAATTAATAGTTTGTCAACTTTTCCAAGTATAACTCCTCACTTGTAAGTTAAAAGAAATGGCTTGCTCGACAGACTACTGCTTAATTTCTAAAGTCAGCCAACGTTCGTTGATTTTGAAGCATCATTTACTGGGTCCTGGTACCTCAAAATGTATATTCCTTGCGGTGTCCGACACAGAAATATCAAGGACAAGCATTCCCAGTTACTATTGGGTATTAATTGAAATGACACAGATTTTCACATGCGCTATACATTCCACCACCAATTATTGGCTAAAAGATACAAACCAGATACACTAATAATTTATTCCTAGGTGCAGTACCAATGACAACTAGTTCTTCCTCATGGCTTTACCTTTTTTATTTAGTCCTGAAGCAGATGGGCAGGAAACGATGATTTCCTTACTGCTTGAAGGAAAGAATTATTACATGGCCTGGACTACAATGGTCCCAACCAATCTCTACATAACTCATAGTCTTGGTGTTATTAATTCTTGTTCATAAATTTAAAAACTCAACTATTATATGTTACGTAGAGATTAGTTGAAACCATGAACATGTAATAGTCCATGACTATCTAATAATTATTCATTGGAAAGAACAAGTTTTTATGCACCAAAAATTACATTATGCATAATATAACTACAGGTTACAAGAAAGGCTTCTTTAAAGCAATCAACAAAGAAAGACTTTAAAATGAAGTCAAGCTTGCAGGTATCCATTCTCCTCCAAGTAGGATATCACTATTTCAGCCATATCACTAGGAGTCTGACAATCACCTCCTTTCTGCTGTAATACTATCTGCAAGATTAAGAAGGCTCAGTCTTTTGAAAAGAAAATGATATGTGGAATTAATCAAATGGAAAACAGGAAAAAAATGATTGAGAATCCCAGAAATGAAAGTTCAGCAGAAGTTTCAAAGGAAAAGCGAGAGGCTCGGTTACTGTGGCATATGGTTTATATAGTAAGCTTCTGACCCATATATCTTAGATCAGAGAAACCAAAGAAAAGGAAAAGAAACTAAAAAACATGAAAGAATAAAATAAACTACCCTGTTCATAAGACAACAAAATTACCCTTCCAAGTTAGATCCCCGGCAAAGAGAACTAAAATTTTTCAATTGTATTAGGCAGTTAGGGACATTATTTGCTATTCGGTAACTATTTGAACGCTTAAGTTTTTACACCATTTTTGCACCGGTTAATGATGACTCAGTTATTCGTTAACAATATGGTTGATGTCGATGATGACTCAATTATTGGTGAACACACGGTTACCAACTTATCAGTGACAGATTTGTCGTTTATTTTTTTTGGTTTATACCACATCTATCATTCACAGAGACAATCTTATTATTCTCAAACCAAATTATATAAACTAATTACTGAGTTATCATGAGCACATAAAAAAAATGGTTAAGAAAAATTTAGTATAATAATTAAGATTGGTCCTGACATTTTGTGAACTCAAGGCAAGGCCATATAATAAATAAGGACCCCTTATATATAAATATCTCATTTAAATATGTATTATATAAAAAAATAAACATGTAATTGTAATAAAAATACTTTTTTTTACACTATGAATAGGAATTTAACAAATCTTTAAAAATATGTATTAATTTTTTTAAATAAACTATGCTATTTTTTATCATCAACAAAATCCATTCTATAAAATTATTGTTGTATCCATCACTTACAAAAACAAAATACACAATTTATCATAAGGGTCTCTTATTATTCAATATGTTAAAAGTGTAATTCTCTTTTAAGTTTTACATCTTTTATATAGAAAAAAGTTGTATTTGTTATCACAAATTTAGAAAATGAAGAAAGTTTTTTCAATGTTTAAGGAAAAAACAAGTGTTTAATCCGTTAAAAATTTAGAATTTGTAGTCAATTAATTAAAAATTTAACAACAAAAAAATGACTTAAATATGTTTTTAGTCCTTCAAATTTAAGGCAAGTTTGCTTTTAGTCTCTCGAACTTAAAACCAATTTTTTAGTTCCTTTAATTTCAAAAATTTTTGTTTTAATCCTTATACTCAAATTTTATCAGAAAATTTGTTAAATGTTGTCACATAAAATTTACTTAGTAGTGTTCCTACTAATGAAAACATCATATTAAACCCGAATGATATTATATAATTGTTTTAATTTATCACTTTCAAATGTGTTATTAGTGACCTAAAAGATTAAAACAAGATTTTTGAAAATTACAAAGATTTTAAATTTGAAGGACAAAAAAAAAATTATTTTAAATTTAAAATACTAAAAATATATTTAAACCAATAAAAATTAACATTAAAAGAGTAAATTTTTGTTTGAAAAATTAGTTATATTTTTAATTTTGGACCCTTGTCAATGATGGAACCCCCTTTTCCAACCCTCAAGGTTGGGCTTGGTAATAATACCAACACACATAACGCAACAAATACACACCTCACAGCTACACGGTGGTTCATATGGATCATCAATACCAGTGAAACCTGCACAATACCAGATAATCATTCAGTTTCAGTCTCATTAGGAGAACTGACACCCTACAATGTTTTTATGTCACCATACCTTTGATTTTTCCAGCTCTAGCAAGCTTGTAGAGTCCCTTTGGGTCCCTAGCTTCACACACATGTAATGGAACGTCTATGAAAACCTGCAATGTGTAAAAGCCTTGTTTAGCTACGATTTATGAAGAATATCTTCTTCAATAATTGTACAAAATCCTAATAGCATATGCCAAACTACGTGTATTATTTGGATCACCACAATAAGAATATTACCTCAATAAAATCTCCTTTTGGAAGTATTGCTCTGCACGCATCTCTATCCTTTCGGTATGGTGATATTAAACTAGTGATGCAAATAACACCAGCATCTGCAAAGAGTTTTGCCACCTCACCTGAAAATTTTTAAATTGTGATGTCTGACTATTAATAAAACAATATAATATAACTGGAAGATAAAGGGGAAAGAATTGACAAGGCTAAAAAAGAAAAGTCTAGATAAACTCACCAATCCTTCGAATGTTTTCAGAACGATCTTCTGCTCTAAAACTAAGATCATGATTTAGACCATGCCGAATATTGTCACCATCAAGGATGTAAGACAGTTTTCCTTTGGAGTGCAAGCTTCGACTCAAAGCACATGCAATAGTGCTTTTTCCTGCAATCGGTAATGATTAATATGGAGAGGGAGGGAGTAATGATATGTAGATTCTTGAAGAATGAAAAGTAACGGTATATCCTGATATATGTAGAAACTCATCACACGAGCTTTCATCTCATTCATCTGTAGAATTATATTTGATAACAATTATGAATTGTTTCGGCCAACACCATGCTAGATGCTACACGTTACAAATTTTCAAGACATCATTACAATTTTTTTTAGCTTGTATGGAATTCAATCTATATATAATAAGATCACCAATAGAATAAATTGAAAATAAAAACAGATACTCGCTGCCAACCTAGCTGCTGCAGATACTCATACATTATGTTAACAAATAAGGGGCAAGCACAGTAATCATAATTTGATAAGGATCTACCATGTAATACACTCTATAACTTGTATTATACTTTTAATTATGTAATTTGTAGCATAGTTAAGCAAAGAAAAATTCATTCTGACTGGGTAGCTGATCTAGGGCTAAAACAACTTCAACTTTTATTTCACATGAATGTGTGTTAAACTAAAGTTGAGCTTGAACCACAAAAGAAGTAAATCTTGGTTGTAAGGTACCCAAGTCGAAAATCAGTAGTTTACACTATGGAGATTTCAACAGCATAAATTGCTAAGGTAATTTTTCAATACCAAAACGTACTCGAGAAAGGAGATTAATTAATTCATGATTCATCTGATAGAAAATAGTAGAACTACGTGTTGGGTGATTATAAGTGCCTATTATGGGTCTATACTAGCCTATGCCAAGATCAGTTACAACTTCCATGCAATAAGTAAGCAAGTCTGCAGCTACATTATATTACTATGCTAGTAAAATTGAAGAATAATTAGTGTGTTTAATTTTTTGGTACCATGGTATTGACATAAGTATTTATCAGTTTTGTCGAAAACTAGTCTCCCTCAAGACCTTGATATTAAGGCTATCTTTTCCAACATCTTTTTTTATCAAATCCAAAACTTGTATTCGAGACCCTTGAGATTTGAGAACCAACCGTAGTACTAGTTAAACCAATAAAAGTTGGTAGAGTAATTAGTGTGTTTATTTCATGATTTCAGGCAAAAAATTATCAACTGTTGTTACAAATAGATTGAAGAAATGAAGTGGAGAAACAGGACACTGCATTATTTGAACTATCACTTATATAACAACATAAACAGTAACAAAAAAGGAGCATGTACCAAAACTTGGGTCACTGTTTCTACCGATCATTGAATGTAAGACGTCAGACAACATATAACAAAATCACTTGAAGCCTACCAGAGCTACAAACCAAATCACCAATAGCACTCAGAATCCTCACAAGTCACAACCATGCTCTTCTCTTGATTAAATGAACTAAGCAGACATACAAATACAATAACTATAAAAAATGCCACAAACCTGATCCACTAAGGCCAGTTAGCCATATAACACAGCCCTTTTGCTGAAGCAGCTGCTGTCTATCTTGTTTCTGAATTGGACAGTCCTGCCACATAATGTTTGTCGACTTCCCAACATTCGACATCTGATGGAGATTTTTACCTAGTTAGATAATAGATTGGTTAACTCTGAAAAATTTGAGCCCTAATTCCCTCAAGAATCATATATTTATTCGCTTCAAAGGTAGGCATTAAATGAAGGGAGAAAAATGTCAACTACCCATACGTATACATCGATATTTAATCGTGAGTCTCCTCACACAATAATAATTCATCAAAGTCAACGAGACTTCCAGTTTCACTCAAACAAAAATTTCACAATAGAAATCCTGTTTCACGTAACCTGTAGAAGACTCAATATTTCAAGCCTTTAAAGACCAACACGAATAGGAGCAAAAAAGTAAAAAACACCATTTTTCTATTATCTACAAGCACGATGAAGATGCTTACCTGAAAAGTCACCTTAGCAGGCTATATCAGCTATCAAGAGCCACTCAACAAGAATCTGTTCGTATTTTTGGGCGAATAGATGCATCGATTTTAAATTGAGTGTTTGGCACAACATGATAGATGAAAAAGGTTGCTTGCTATGGCTACACGGCACTAATTCACTGAATGATGATTATGATTATGACCCACCTAGCTGAGCTGTACAATTTTTAAATGGTTCAACAGGAATCTCTTACTTCGCCATCGTTCCCTTCCTAATAATTATATAGTTGAATTTGAATGCGCGTGACCAATGGAAACAAACAAACACCATTTTCATTTTTAATTTTTTTCAAATAAAAGTAAAAGGTTTAAGATTCCGAATGTATCAAAAATCCTCCCCGCACGGTCTTCTACGTTATAACGAAACTCTTTGAAAAAAATTACCTATAACAACGAGTCTCAAATATTTGCATTTCAAAAAACGCATTCCAGATTCGAGATTCCAGATCATAATAGTGAACTGAAAACGAAAATCACAGTACCAGAAAATGCAGCAGCACCGTCCTCTGCGTCAGAAGCCTTAATTGGCTTGAACCAGTCATCGATCAGAGAAGCGCCGGCGTTCTCCTTCGCCTTAATCGGCTTCGATCTCGCACCGCGGAGGACCAGGCTTCGGCGGCCGCGGTACAGTCCGGCGACATTGGTACCGCAGAGCTTCGCAAACCCTAGCTTCACCGGCGCCGGCGCCGGTCCGCATTCGATATGGCGGAAGAATCCGGTGCTACATGGCGGTGGCGGCGCTTTGGCGGTGATCATCTGCGGCGGCGGAAAATGATAGAAGGGTGAGTGTGTGTGAAGCTTGCGCAGCACAGAGTCTCACCGTAACGGTTTTCTGTTATGGTTAAATTTTATATGAAGCTTAGTGCGGAATCGAATTGGCACTTGGCATTACTCATTAGCACTAGCCATAGGCAATGGCGGATAAATATATAAAATAATACACTCGCCAGGATTTGCCACCCTGTGTCTGGTTTCCATATGTAAAAATATTTTGACATTTTATTAGTATAAGTATAACAAAGATTTTACTAAATTCTTTTCCAACATTTAATTTTTCTTGTTAAATGGAGAAAATGTATATTGTAAGATGTTAAATATAAACACACTAATTTTTTTTATAAGTATTATAGAGTAAATTATGAACATAAAATAATTAATGTAATTATTTTTAATTAATTTTATCATAAATATAAGTTATATTCAAAATATATTTTTATTGTAAGTAATTATTATATTTAATATTAATTATTAGAGAGTATATATAAAAATAAAGTAAATAATAAATGAAGGATACAAAAGAAATTTAACTTGAATAATTTATTTTTAATATATAACTTGAGTAATTTATTTTTAATATATAATTTGAGTAATTTTAAAAATTAATGATTGTTGTTTGTTATTAAAATCAAAGAAGAAGAAAAACATCAAGTTATTACTTATTTTTAGGATTGAAGGTGGTACTAAATAAGAATAAGAATGACCAAGTCTTTCACCCATTTTTTAAGAAAATGAATACATTTATATAAATAAATTTTTATTTAATTTTATTTTATTAAAATTTGAAAGAGTTTTTAAAACTTAATTATAAATTAATAAAAATAAAAGTGAACACTTTTAAAATTTCATGATTACAGATTGAGTTTTCTATCATTTTATATAACATGAAGTAGTTTTAATTTTTATAGACTTTAGTTGTAATAATATTTTTTTAGAGTTATACCTTGTAATCTTGCAAAATTAATAAAATAAGTTATGTTTTATTTTTAAAAAATTAAATATCATTTTAACTAAAATCTATTATTACATTAAAATTTTAAGATGTATAAGATTAAAAAAAATTGAGTCTTAATTCATGTTATTCAAGCTTAAGGTACTAGTAAGCCTAAACTAAGTCGAGTTCAAATTAAAAAAAAAATGCTCGTGTCAAACTCGAGTTAAATTATAAATTGAGTCAAATATTATCAAGTTGAGTTAAGCTGAGCCAAACTAACTCAACTCGACTCATTTCCAACTCTATAAAACTTATGTACAATTCTTTAAATAAGGTTAAATTTTTCTCTAATTAAAATTAAAATTTTGTTTCATTGACATACATTTACATTTAATGCAAATCTCGATAATATAAATTTATTCCAATTTTAATTAAAAATACCAAACTTATATAAAGAATTTCACTTTAGTTTTTTTTTCCCTCCTAAATATAGTTACCCACTTACACCATTTAATAGTAATGAAAAACTATAAAAAGTAAATGAATAAAATAATAAATACTTATTAATGTTTTGAAGATATCAAATATATTAATTTATTAATCCTATTTTTTATTCATAAAGTATAAGAAGATATTAAAAATTCATTAATGATTTTTAAGATGCCACATACATTGATTTTTTAATTTAATATTCCCTTCATAAAATATAAGAATTTATTAAATATTCATTAAACTTTTTTTATGTCATTCGCAAAAATTTGTAAGATGTTAAATACACTATTTTGTAATTTAATATTTTATTTATATAATATACTATAAATCATACAAATAATATAAGAAAATATTAAATGTTTTCTTATAATTTTTAGATATTAAATACATTATTTTTAACTAAATATATTTTTTATATCAAAAGATGGTACGCACTAAGTGTGGAGTTCTTGTTGATATAACCTTGGCAACTTGGTCTAATGAGTTTTTTTGAATTGATACTAATATTGTTGTGTGTATTGTTTATTTATATGTAAGAATGTTAAATGATGTGTTGTATAAGATATACAAAGGAATACAATGAAATGTCTTGGTATATTGTGAATGAAAATAAATGAGGACATAACATGTAATAATATGTATGAATATCCTCTATGAAGTACTTGTGAGACCATGTGCATTATATGTGTGATCATGCATCACAAAATTAATGAGATGCTATTTTTGGAAAATGTTAAATTTTTTTTTTTAATTAAATATTTTTTTAATACCAAAAACAACCCTTACATATGCTAATCTTTTAATTATGACTAAGCAAAAAATGGAAAATGTTAAATAATATTAAATACTTATTTTTAATTAAATATTTTTTACATAAAAAACAATCTTACTTTCTAATCTTTTAATTATGACCAAACAATAGGTGGTATGCGCTAAATGTGGAGCCTTTGTTGATATAACCTTGGCCTAATGAATTTTCTTGATTGAAACTAGTGTTGTGTGTATTGTTTGTTCATATGTAAGAATGTTAAATGATGTGTGTGAATATATACATGTTGATAAATGAATGCAATAAAATGCCTTGGTATGTTGTGAATGAATATAAATTAGAACATAACATGTAATAAGGTATATGAATATCCCCCCATGAAGTACTTGTGACTATATATGTTCATTATATGTGTGATCATGCATCACAACATTGATGAAATGCTATTTTTGGAAAATGTTAAATACATTATTGTTGTGTACTGGGGGGTTACCACAAATATACACATGTCGGTTCTGCTTTTAGACATCACCCAAAAGGCCTCTCTCAACCAATGGAGACAACAATCCTCCCCTCAAACAAAGGACCACGATTTTTGCCCCCTGTAGTGTCCCACAGAGCTCACTCACGCTTAGAGTGTTTGCACCGCCGCTCCATCATGACCTCCCTCATGATAGCGGGACACGCCTCCTAACCTTCTATGTTACTAGGAAGCCTCTTTTCCACATGGACCCACCATTAAGAAGACTTTCAATCTGATGGTGGCCCCATAGAGCTCACTCATACTCAGAGTGCTTGCACCGCCGCTCCATCATGACCTCCCTCATGACAGCGGGACACGCCTCCTAACCCTCCATGTTACTGGGAAGCCTCTCTTCCACATGGACCCACCGTTAGGAAGACTTTCGATTCCACATAGACCTACCGTTAGGAAGACTTTCGATCCGATGGTGGCCCCATAGAGCTCACTCATGCTGGGAACCCTCTCTTCCACATGGACCTACTGTTAGGAAGACTTTCGACACAAGGGAGATATTGTCTGTTTTGGGCCTAAGCACTCACGATTTTGCTTTTGAACACCACCTAAAAGGCCTCTCAACCAATGGAGACAACTGTGTGTATATAAACTAGGGATGACAATGGGGCGGAGCGGGTACGGGTTTTATGATACCCGTCCCCGTCCCCGCGAGTCAAATCCATCCCCGTCCCCGTCCCCGTACCCGTCGGGTATGTGGTTTTCATCCCCATCCCCGTCCCCGTCGGGTATCGGGTATACCCGTACCCGTACCCGTACCCGTCAATTTTTTTATTTTTTATTTTTTGTAAAAAAAATATATTTTTAAATTATTTTTTTTATTATATTATAATCATAATTAAGTTATTTTTCTATCTCATATTATAATAAATAATCACACATAAAAAAATATTAATTTTTTTTAATATAATTAAATTAAAAGTGAGTATTAAATTAAAAATAGAAACGGGGACGGATACGGGTACGGGTAAGGGACGAGTAAGTACATACCCGTACCCGTACCCGTACCCGATCAAACCGGGTATTCCCCGTCAAAGTCGGGACGGGTTCGGGTATTACCCGCCGGTACGGGTATATTTGTCATCCCTAATATAAACTCATGTCCATCCTCTTGTTTAAACGATGTAGGGCTTTGCTTGCATCCCAACAATTATTTTTAATTAAATATTTTTTATACCAAAAGAAATCCTTACTCTCTAATCTTTTAATTATGACCAAGCAAGAAATGGAAAATGTCAAATACATTACTTTTAATTAAATAATTTTTTTATATCAAAATCAATACCTACTTTTTGATCTTTTAATTATGACCAAGCAAGAGATGATATGCGCTAAGTGTGGAGTCCTTGTTGATATAACATTGGTCTAATGAGTTTTCTTAATTGAAACTAATGTTGTGTATATTGCTTGTTCATATGTAAGAATGTTAATTAATGTGTATGTATATATACATGTTAACTGACTGCAATGAAATGTCTTGGTATGTTGTAAATGAATATAAATGAGGGCATAACATATAATAAGATGTATGAATATCCTTCATAAAGTACTTGTGCATTATATATGTGATCATGCATCACAACATTAATGAAATGCTATTTTTGGAAAATGTATAGGAACCTAATTAATGGAGGTCACAAAGGAGTGTTAACCATACGATGACACCCGTGAAAAAATTCTAATGGTCCATGTTAATTTTAATTTATTACTAGTGTTTGTTAAATATTTTATTTTATAAGTTTTTAATTAAATAATAAATAATTTGGAATTATTAGGCTAAGACTTAAAGACCCTATAATTTTTTTTAATAATAGTTGAGCTTTGTTTCTGGTGAGCAATACTCATCGCTAGAGTAATTAGGATTTTAGGACCTGGTCTCTCCCTATGGCTCATTTTTTGGTTTGTGTCTTAGAACTTCGGGTTGTCAAAGCTATAAATGGAGGAACATGAAGTTTGAGCGACCTTTTATCAAACTCTTGCCGTTGTGAAAAGGGACAAATGTACTTAGGATAATGGCCCTTGGTCTCCTGGCATTTTCATAATTTAATTTTTTAATATGCATTATTATATTTTTAATGTTAGAATAATTAAGATAATTATTTATACTTAGAAGTTTAATAATAAATATAATTACATTTAAGTTTTATTTATCTCTTTTATATTCTTATAATTAAGTATTCTATTCTCTTTTTATATATTATTTAATAGTAAAGATAACTATATTTAAGTTTTATTTATCTCTTTCATATTCTTTTAATAAATTACTTTATTTCTCTTTTTAAATTATTTAAGTGTATTGATTTATAATTATTTTAAAGTTAAAGACTATTTATTATTAATGAGAGGTGACAATGAATTAAATTAACTCGAAAATAGTTCAAAACTTAATTCAATAATTAACTCATTAAATTTGGTTCA